GAGATTATATATCACAAAAATCATACGTTATGACCAGGTGGGATATATAGCAGGAATGTAGGGCTGGTTCAATATCAGGAAAACCATCAGCATAACTGACCACATCAATAAAAAAAACTAACAGAAATCATATGATTATCTCAAAACATGCAGAAAAGGCTTTTGAAAAAAAATACAACACCCATTCCTTTTTTGGGAAGGCAATCAGAGTTAAGTGACTTGCCCAGGGTCACACAGCTAATAAGCGTCTGAGGCCAGATTTGAACTCACATCCTCCTGACTCTAGGGCCAGTGCTCTTTCTATCCACCGCACCGCCTAGCTGCCTCTATGCATTCCTGTTAAAAACGTTAGACAGCATAGGAATAAATGGAGCTCTACTTAAAATGATATCTATCTAAAAGCATCAGCAAGCATTATCTGTAATGACGATAAGCCAGAAACCTTCCCAATAAGAAAAGGACGAAGCAAGGATGCCAACCATTATTATTCAATATTATACTAGAAGTGCTGGCAATAAGAGAGGAAAAGTAAATTGAAGGAATTAGAATAGGCAATGTGGAACCAAAGCTATCGCTCTTTACAGACAATATGGTGGTACACTTAGAGAATCCTAGAGAATCAACTAAAAACTAGTGAAAATAATTAACGTATTCAGCAAAGTTGCAGGATATAAAATAAACCCACACACATCATCAGCATTTCTATATATGACCAACCAAAGTCCAGCAGCAAGAGATAAAAAAAGAAATTCCATTTAAAATAATTATAAGCAATATAAGATATTTGGGAGTCTACCTGCCAAGACAAACCCAGGAACTATAGGAAAACAATTAGAAAACATGTTTCATACAAATAAAGTCAAATTTAAACAATTGGAGAAATATTAATTGCTCACGGGTAGGATGAACCAATATAATAATAATGACAATTCTACCTAAAGTTAATTTACTTATTCAATGCCATACCAATCAAATTACAAAAAAAAAAGATATTCTAGAGAGTTATAATAATAAAAATAATAACTAAGAAAATAATAACTAAGTTCATCTGGAAGAACAAAAGAGCAAGAATATCAAGGGAATCAGTGAAAAAAAAAGTGAAGGAAAGTAGCCAAGCAATACCAAATATCAACTGTATTAAAAAGCAGAAATAATCAAAACAATCTGCTATTGGCTAAGAAACAGAGTGATGGATCATTGAAATAGATTAGGTATACAATATACATTAGTAAATGACCATAGTAATCTAGTGTTTGACAGACCTAAAGATCCAAGCTTTTGGGAAAACAACTCACTATTTGACAAAAACTGTTGGGAAAACTGGGAAACAGTTTGGCAGAAACTGGGTCTAGACCAGCATTTATACCATATACTGAGATAAGGTCAAAATGGGTTCATGATTTAGACATAAAGGGTGATATCTTAAGCAAATTAGGAGAGCACGGAAATTTTTACCTGTCAGATAAGGGAACAATTTGTGACCAAACAACAGATAGAAAGCATTATGGGATGACAAATGGATAGTTTTGATTACATTAAATTAAAAAGGTTTTACACAAACAAAACCAATGTAGCCAAGATGAGAAGAAAAGTAGGAGACTGAGTAAAAAAAAAATTACAGTGAGTTTCTTTGATAAAGACATCATGTCTCAAATATATAGAGAACTGAGTCTAATTTATCAGAATACAAGTCATTCCCCAACTGATAAATGGTCAAAGGATATGAACAGACAGTTTTCAGAAGAAGAAATCAAAGCTATCTATAGTAATGTGAAAAATGTTCTAAATAACTATTGATTAGAGAAATTAAAATTAAAACAATTCTGAGGTACCACCTCAGACCCATAAGATTGGCTAATATGGAAGAAAAGGAAAATGACAAACGTTGGAGGGGATGTGCGAAAATTGGGGCACTAATGCAATGTTGGTGAAGTTGTGAACTAATCCAACCGTTCTGGAAAGCAATTTGGAACTATGCCCAACAGCCTATAAAACTGTGTATGCCCTTTGACCCAGCAATGCCATTACTAGGTCTGTATCCCAAAGATATCAAAGAAATATGTACAAAAATATTTATAGCAGCTCATTTTGTAGTAGCAAAGAATTGGAAGTTGAGGGCGTGCCCATCAATTGGGAAATGACTGAACAAGTTGTAGCATATAATTGTGATGAAATACTATTGTGCTATAAGAAATGATAAAGGGGCAGCTAGATGGTGCAGTGGATAGGGCACTGGCCCTGGATTCAGAAGAACCTGAGTTCAAATCCGGCCTCAGACACATAACACATACTAGCTGTGTGACCCTGGGCAAGTCACTTAACCCCATTGCCTAGCCAAAAGAAAACAAACAAACAAACAAACGGACAAGAAATGAGAAGCAAGATGCTTTCAGAAAAATGTGGGAAAACTTACATGAACTGATGCAAAGTGAAATGAGCAGAACTAGGAAAATATTGTACATAGTAATAACAGTACTGTATGATGATCAGCTGTGAATGACTTAGCTATTCTCAGCAACACAATGATCCAAGACAATTCTGAAGGACTTAATGATGAAAAGTGCTGTCCACCTCCACAGAAAGATCTGATGGAGTCTGAATGTAGATTGAAGCATACTTTTTTTAAACTTTATTTTTCTTGGGTTTTGGTCTGTTTTCTTTTTGTTGTTGGAAATATTGAAATGTTTTGCCTGACTGTGCATGTATAGCGTATAGCAAATTGCTTGCTTTGTCAAGGGGAGGGGAGGGAAGGGAGGGAAGGAGAGAATTTGGAACTCAAAAAAACTTTTTAAAATTTTTTATTAATTTATTTTGATCTACCAACAATCACTTCCATAAGCTACTAAGTTTTAAATTTTTCTCTTCCTCCCTCCCCACTTTCCTCCCCATGATGGCACGCAATCTGATATAGGCTTTACGTATAGATTCCTATTGAACATATTTTCACATTAGTTATGTTGTAAGGAAGAATTAGAACCAATAGGAGGAACCATCAGAAAGAGGAAACAAAACAGAAGGAAAAAAATGGCAAATAGTATGCTTCGATCTGTGTTCAAACTCCAAAGTTCTTTCTTTGGACTTGGATAGCATTTTCCATTATGAGACCTTTGGAGATGTCTTAGATTCTTGAATTGTTGAGAAGGACTAAGTCTGTCAAAGTTAGTCATTGCATAACGTGGCTGTTACTGTGTACAACATTCTCCTGCTTCTACTCACTTCATTCAGCATCAGTCCATACAAGTCTTTCCAAGTTTTTCTGAAGTCTGCCTTCTCATCATTTCTTACAGCACAATAGTACTCCATTACATGCATATACTACAACTTGTTCAGCCATTCCCCAGTTGATGGGCATCACCTCAATTTCCAATTCTTTGCCACCACAAAAAAGAGCTACTATAAATATTGTTGTACACGTGGGTCCTTTTCTCATTTGTATGATCTCTTTGGGACACAGCCCTAGGACTCAAAAAAATTTTGAAACAAATGTTAAAAAATTTTTCCGTATATAATTGAGAAAAATAGTACTGAATCATAGGACTTTATCAAAACTTTATCCAACCCTGCTTCTGTGTTAGGTTTAATCTAACACATTTCTAGCTTACCTTCCCTTTCCTTCCCTTGGCCCTGTGCTCTTGTGTCCAGGTCATTAAACATTTTCTGCAATAATAGCTTTGTGAAGTAGGTATCTCCACTTCATAGCTGGGGAAATGGATTCAGAGAAGTGACTTGCCCAAGGTGAAAAAGGCCATACATTGTCAAGGAAAAAGTGGGTTTGGAGCCAGAACCCCTACATTTGAATCCTGGTTCTTCAGTGAGCTTCTCATGTGACCTTGGACAAGTCACTTAGTTTTTCTCTGTTGCTTCATCTGTAAACCGAGTATTTTGGTCTCTGAAGTTCTTTCCGGGTCTAGGATTCTTGAAGTAGCAGAGCTAGAATTCAAACCTAGGTCTTTCACCTTCTAAACCAGTCTGTCTCTACCACAACAGATTGACAAATAAGGAGGAGACCTCGCCTGAGGCCACATTGGCACAAGCTCTTTCCCTGTGGCTCCCCAGAGGCAGCTGCTGCCTTCACCCTGAGCTCTGGGCCCCAGGGCTGCTGGGGGGGGGTGTGGGCTTTGCCCTTGGCTCCCATATTAGGACCGGGATGGGGGTAGGGGGAGGGGAAGAGAGGAAGTTGGCTGTTCTCTTCAGAGTCTGAAAGGTTATTGCCCAATACCTAGCATGTTCCATCACAGTGTAGTGAGACAAGGGGGCGGGGGGAGGAGGGAGTTGGTTGTGGGGGAGAGGGTCAGGCTGGGAGATATGTCCCTCCAAGCAAGGCCTTTTAAAGCTTTGACGGCCTCTCCTCTTGGAGGCTGGGAGAATTTCCATGTTCCATGCCAGGAGCTAGGAGAGGACATGGCTGATGATCAGGCAGACAAGGCTTTGGGGCTAGGGAAGGGTTAACCCCTCATCTCCCAGGGAGTGAGAGGGTTCTTCTAGCAACGGGAGACTGATTCTCTAGGGTAAGAGCTCCTAGGAGCTGGAGCCAGAGGTCCAAGATGCCCAGGGTGTACTCTCACCCAAAGCCCTCTCTTCCACGTCCCTCCAGTTAGGCCATTACATTTAACTAGAGTAATTACATCCCACTGACCTTAATTCCCTAGGAAGTTTTAATTGGCTCTGGGATTCCCCCACTTCCTGTCCTACCCCAGTAGGAGAGGGGCCTGAGCAGCTGTTCCAATGTGGAGGCACCCAACTCAGAAGCGGAAAAGTGGCCTGGGCCCTGCACAAGGATCTGAGTGGTGCTAGGCCTGGGATGGGGTTCCCTGATGGGGTGTTGTGATATGTGTGTGTGTGTGTGTGTGTGTGTGTGTGTGTGTGTGTGTGTGTGTGTGTGTAAACTTCCCCCCCCAGATTCAGAGACTAGCCAAGGAAGGGGAAGGGCAGGTCCAGGGAGGCAGCTGACCAGAGGCAGCCAGGGAAAGACAGAGGTAATCCCGTGGATCTGTCACCAGGCTCCCTCAGGAACCAGGCCAGCCCCCCAGCCAGCAGAGATGAGCCTGCCAAGGGAATGTGCTGACTGCGCAGGAACACTGGAGAAGCCACCCCCTCGCTCTGAGGACCGGCACTTTCTGGGGGGCCAGGACTCCTGGAGCCTCTAATAGGATGGCTTTAACATGTAAGAAATTCACGGGACTTAGAACTGGAAGGGACCTGAGAGACAAGCTAGTCCATCCCCTTTGCCCTCAATGTTGCAGATGAGGAAACTGAGGCCCAGAGAGGCCAAGTCATTTCCTCAAGGTCATAGGTAGTAAATATCAGAGCTAAGACACCCATCTCTTCAGACTCCAAATTGAATATGCTCTCCCAGACTGGTCTCAGTTACTGCCTTGGTCCCTAACAGAATCCTTACTGCTACATCCCCCCACAATAGTTCTTTCTCAGGATTACAGATACAGAGCTGGAGGAACCGTTCAGTGTAACCCTGTCATTTTATAATAGAGGAAACTGAGGCACCTTGTTCAAGCTCACCCTAGTAGTAATCACCAGAGGAGGGGCTTGAACCCAGCTCCTCTGACTCAAGAGTCAGTGCTGTTTCCCCCATCCCGTTCTCTAATTATCATAACGTTAACAACAGTTATTGCCACCACCGGATATGTAGGCAGCTAGGTGGTACAATGGATAGCGAGCTGGGCCCGGAGTCAGGAAGACCCGATGTCAGATCTGGCCTCAGACATTTACAAAGTTGTGTGACCCCGACCAAGTCACTTAACTTCTGTCTGCCTCAGTTTCCTCAACTGTAATATGAGGATAATAATAACATCTACCTCCTAGGATTGTTGTGAGGATCAAATGAGATAATATTTGTAAAGTGCTTAAAGACACAGTGCCTGGCATACAGTAAGCACTTAATAAGTGCTTGATTCCTTCCTTCCCTATAACCTGACTTAGGTCCCACACACCTAATAAACATCTGTAGTAGGATTTGAACTCATATCTCCTGATTCCAAGGCCAGTGCTCTATCCACTACAGCTAGGTCCTAATTAGTATGAACAGTGAATCTCAGAAGTTGTCATGTTATTCGAATCTACACCATGTGTTTCCATTGGGCTGGAACCAGTGGCCACATTTTACATAGTTATAATTTTGAACAGTGTAAATTCAGGCCTCGAGCCTGTCAGTGGGTTAGGGGGGTGTTTACCCTAAGCATGTGAAGACTTCCCAGGTGGAATGGGTGGATGAGAACAATTTGTTCCAACGCCACAAAGGCAGCTGAAGCAGGTGCTGTGGAGCACTTAGGGCTCGGGCAGACATCGAAGATGCCAAGGTTATCCGCTGCATCCCGGACCATCACCAGATGTCCCGACTTTTGTCCTGCCACTGGACTTCGATGACTCAGGAAGATAGAGTGAGGCTGACACTTTGTGCAACTCTGCCTCACTGAAATCCAATTCACTTCGGAGCCAAGACATCACCCCGTGATGTCATTGGTCCTCTTCAGGAACAAAACAAAAACAAAAACAAATGATGAGGAATGAGTGTGAATTCAAATGCATGCGACTACTTAAGGGAATTATTCTTCATGCCAGTTGGGACCTGGCTGCACACTACATTAGAGGCACTAGAGCCTCAGCAAAGAGAGCATTTTCTATTCTCTGCTGATATCTCTATACACAGGGGATCCTCAAAGTCTTGGTTCAGTTTTAACATTAAACTGGAACTAAGGCTTTTGGGACATGCTCTATATGCAATTACATATATTCTCATTTTATATATGATATACACATATATGTAAGATATGTACATAAACACATATGTAAGATATACACATATACACATATGCATAATCGATAGATTTTAGATGGCAATGAGTTAATGTATGTAATGCATTTTTAAAGTCTTAAAGCCCTATATAAATGTCAGTTCTTATTATTCCAGATGGTCAGAGGATATGCAAAGAGGGTTTGGAAGTGGATTATTCATTCTTCAAATCTCTAGTGTTGCTAATTCTCCCTAACAGGTAGTCTTTCCAGTTTTCTTTTAGAAAGAAATCTCCTCTTGTCCTATCTTCCCTGGAGATGGAAGAAATCCTGGAATCCTAGAATCCTCCCAGTCCTCACTCCCTCTCAACATTCAGTTCAGTCCAGTTCTAGCCAATGAACATTTATGAAGCATCTACCAAGTACAATCTACAAAGACGAAAACCACTTGGATTCCAGCTCCTTAGCAAGAGATGTGAGGGGTAAGTAGGCGGGGAGCAGAGGGTTCGAGAGGGGAAGCACGGCCCCCGGGCAGGAGCTCAGAGCTAAGTGGTTTAGCTGCGACTGGGTATGGGGAAAGAGAGTCAGGGGAAAGGAGACCGGAAACGTGGGTTGGAATCAGGCTGTGGAGGACCTTGAATGCCAGTCAAGGAGGCTTGTAGTTTATCCCATGGGCAACAGGGAGCCTGTGAAGGCTTTTGAGCAGGAGAATGACACGGGCACCCCGGAGAATTAGTAAGATTATTTTGGCAGCAGTGTAGATACAGTTTTAAGACAATAACAATTTTTTTAAAAAAATCTTATCTCCCCAAGTGACCAGGAGATTCCATGAGATGAGGACATCTACCCTCAAGAAAGTAGTTTTGGGCACCTATGGTTTTGTAAGACCCTCTCTCTCTCTTTTTTTTTCTTTGTCCAGACCTTCAACTTCATCATGGTAAGGAACTCCTCAGGCAGACACTTCCTTCACTGATGCTGATCAGTCACTCATAGTCTAAAGAGCTGACTAGGTTAGTTATTGAGAGGTTAAGTGACTTGTCTAGGGTCACACTGCCATCATAATCAGATTTGAACTCAGCTCTTTCTGACTCCAAGGCTAGTGGTCCATCTACAATGCCACGTTGCTCCCTGCAAAGTACTCTGGACAGTAAAAATGAGACAAGACATACTGTCTATGTGCTGAGATAGGGCATGTGTATACACACAAAAAAATAAATAAATAAACTCACAATCTCTAACAGCCTCTAGGCTGTACCCCATGAGCAGTACAGAGAGGAAGGGATTTAGGAATCAGAAGGGAGAAAGAGCTCTGTAGACTGGGGTGGCTAGGGAAGGGCTTCTCAGACAAGGCAGCTTAAGGGGGCAGCTAGGTGGCAAAGTAGATAGAGCACCGGCCCTGAAGTCAGGAGGACCTGAGTTCAAATCTGACCTCAGACCAAACACTTGACACTTCCTAGCTGTGTGACCCTGGGCAAGTCACTTAACCCCAATTGCCTAAAAAAAAAAAAACACAACAAGGCAGTTTAGAGTGTTCCAGAAGTCTAAGACTTGGATTTTGGGGGTACCTTGTATTTGAAGGACAGCTTACTAAGCAGTCATTCAGTAAACATTTAAACATCTGCCATATGCCAGGTACTATGTTATGGGCTAGGAATACAAAGAAAGGCAAAAGACAGTCCCTGCTTTCACAGATCTCACAGTCTAATGGGGGAGGGGCAGGGCCAACACCTAGTTGTTCTGACTTTAAATCGATCTCTCCCTCTCTTCCCCATACCACACCGAGATAGGAGTCATGTCCCCTAAATAGCCCCTCAAGGCTCTGGACTGAGGTGGGGAGGGTGGTAACCATGAGGCCAACCCGGGCCAACATTGTTCCGGTCCTTGGTGGTGGATGTAACTTAAGTACACCAAGCAGACTCGGGGAGACTTGTGCCTCCACTGGGAAGGCCCTGAGTTTCCCCAGTGTCCTCAGGGCAATCCATCTAGGGTCACTGCCCAAAGTCACAGACTAACAGAATGATGGAGCTAGGAAGGAATTCAGGACACAGAACATAGAATGTCAGAGCTGGGAAGGATCTTAGGACATGGCAGAGCTAGAAGGGACCTTAACAGTCATAGAAAAACCTCCTGTTTTTATAGAGTTTAAAACTGACAAGCATTCTCCTCACCACAATCCTTCAAAATGGATTGTGCAAGGATTATTTCCCCTGCTATGCATTTATAAGGAAACTGAGGCTCAGGAAGCAAAGTGACTTGCCCAGGGTCGCACAACTGGTATGAATCAAAGCCGGCTTCAAATTCAAGTCTCCTCACTCCAAGTCTTGAGCTGGTAAGGATCTTAGAGTGGAGGAAGAAGGGTGTTAGACCTTGGAGCCTGTCTATTGTAGTCCCCTCATGTTTCAGAGAATGAGGCAGGCCTCGAGTCCTTAGTGTCACCGCGGGTCTGAATTTCCCTTCCAGCCCAGTTTGGGCCCCTTTCAACACCACTCCTCCCCTCACAAGTGTGGCTCCAGACCAGATATTATTAACCTTTTATTTTGTATCATGGACCCTTTTGGCAGTCTGGTGAAGCCGACTCCTCAGAGTTATGTTTTTTAATTCATAAAATATAATGTATAGAATTTCAAAGGAAACTATATTGAAATATAAAACCATATTGGAACCACATGTGAAATAGGAAATCGTATTGAAATGTGGTCATCAAAATTAAAAAAACACCAACCACCAAGTTCACAGCCCCCTCTGAAATGAGTCTGTGGGCCCCAGGGTGAAGAACCCCTGATCTAGAGGGATAGAAAGGGGTGATACCCAGGCAAGATGCTGGTAGTCTAGCCATCCTCTCCGTACCGTGCAGAACCCAAGGAAAAAGGAAAAGCGTGGGTTTATCAGGAACAGATATCTATGTAGGTCCAGGGGTGCAGAGGCCTGGGTGATTGGGCAGTGACTGCTTCCTCCCTGTCTCCTCTCTCATCTGCTTCTGTTTGTTTCCCTGCCCCGGCTCCCCCAAGCCTGAGCCCCTGCTGGCCGGCAGGGTGGCCGTGGGAAGAATGGCGTGTCCTCTGAATCTGGGCCAAGAGGAACAGGTGGCCCGAAAGTCGAAGCTTGTTGGGCTCATAGCTGCATGGCCCCCGTGTAAGGGATCCTTCTCGTCCTGCACCACCTCCTCCTCCTCCTCCTCCTCCTCCTCTACTGCCTCCCCAGCTCCGTGCACTCGTTATAGAGCAGCACCCGCTCCGACAGCCACACGTCTCTGCCCTGGCCCAGGCCTGGCCACCAGGTAACCTTCCCCCACCCCCCCACTCACCCTGTCCCCCCAGTCCCTTACCTCTCAACACCTTCCAGATCTGAGGGCCATTCATATTCAGTCTGTGCAACTCACCATCAGGACTGGATTCCCTATGCCCCCTGGCATGCCCTAGAGCTGCCTCTAATGCCTTCTCTCTCACCCCTCAGTTCTCTGGATTTCCCAACCCTGCCAGGACCCATCTTGGTCAGGAGCTCCCTTAGCTTACCTCCTGTTTCCTTCTGTCCTTTCATTCCCTGGGACTGAAACCTCCCCTCCCCTCCTCTCTCTGCAGGCAATAGTGCGACGCACTAGAGGCAGACAAGCAGAAGGACCAGCCTCCCTGATGGCAACCACGGGCAACGGAGCAGCAGAGCCAGGAACCCCGAGCCCAGAAGCAGCTCCAGGTGCTGGGATTGCGGGTGGTAGGTAGGGGGAATAGCCTGCCCTGGGGCGGTAGCTGGCGGAGAACTTGAAACCCTGAGGTGGGAGGCTGAAGTGAAGCCCCCTGCCCCCCCTGCCACCCTCTGGGCTGGAGTCCTTCTCTTTGTAAGTCTGTGCCCTAAGCTGCTGTATTTCCTGCCATCCTCTGCTTATAGTCCCTAGCTCAGAGCGCAGGGCAGTAAGGGATGCCTTCTGGAGCCTTGTGTGGGAGAGAAGAAATTCTCTTCTTCCTCATTAGAAAGGAAGCTCCTTGAGGTCAGGGGCTGTAGTTTTGCCTTTCTTTGCATCTCCAGTTCTTAGCCTAGGACCTGGAGTAGAGTAAGCACTCAGTAAGTTCTTGTTGACTGATTGATGCTGAGTCTAAGCTCCTCATTTTATAGACTAGGAAACGGAGGCCCAAAGATAGGAAATGACTTTCTCCATAAGTAGTAGAATTGGTATTTTAAACCAGCTCCTTGGGCTCCAAATCCAGGGCTTTTCCCACTACTCCACAGGTCTCCTCAAGAGAAATAGGAAGTACTGGGCAGGCAGTTAGAGTCTGGGCACTGGGCAAACCCCTGGCATATTCCAACTCCCTTTCTTGAAAAGATGCACAGCCACCCTGTGCAGAGGGTCCAGTTCTGGGCATTCCTGGAAAGGGGCAAGTGGGATACAGGGGTGGGTCTCACTGTCAGCCAGCTAGGGGAAGTGGGACCTTGGGAGGAGGACATGAACATTTCAGATACAGAGGTGGAAGCTGTGGGCACTATCTAGCTGTCCTGAAAGGGCCTGGCACACGGGCCAGGAAACTAGGACCTAACAATATGGTGTTGGGGAAAGAGTGCTGTACTTGGAGGCAAGAGAGATCTGTGTTCAGATCCCAGTCCCAGTGGTATGTGATCAAGGGCAAGTCCCTTCCTCTTTTTTTTTGGTTAGGCAATGGGGTTAAGTGACTTGCCCAGGGTCACACAGCTAGTAAGTATCAAGTGTCTGAGGCCAGATTTGAACTCAGGTCCTCCTGACTCCAGGGTTGGTGCTCTATCGGCTACACCACCTAGCTTCCCCCAAGTCCCTTCCTCTTCCTGGGCTTCAGTTTCCTCTTTTGCAGAATGATGGGACTGCATTAGATGATGCTTAAGGTTCCTTCCACCTCTAATATCCTAGGATTGTCTCTGAACCTTAGCCCACCTTTGTAAAAATAGTGGAGGGGTAGGGTTGGGGAGGGCTATAATCCTTGCCCTATCTGTTGCTTAAGCTATAGAAATATAAGTGGTTGTTACTGTTACTGTGGAGAGGATTAAGAAGACTGGGAAGGGCCAGGGAGCTCTAGCACATTGGCTTAGGTGGAGCTCAGGGGACCACCCAGTTTAATATCACCTTCTCATTTGCAGACAATGCCCCCAAAGGCAAGGCTGATGAAGCTTCTCTTGTCCAAGAGAAAGGAGCTGTGCCTCCAGGCCAGCCCCTGCCTGGAAGCCCAGGCCCCCCCAAGGAGAAAGCGGTTACTGCTGGTGGGGTGGCCCACCCAGATGGAGGGGCAGGAGAGGCACCCCTGGCAGTGGAGGGGAGTGCTGGCCCAACGGCTGCCTTGCCCCAGCAGTCCCTACTGATGGAATCGTCAGAGAAGAAACCAGAGGCTGGCACCAAGGGGTCTGAGACTGGGCAGGACAAGGGTGGCCAAGGGGCAGGAGAACGGACCAAGGAAGAAAAGAAGCCAGCAGGCAAAGCAGAACCTAGGAAGGCCCCTCCACCCTTCCTGCACAGCCCCAGTTGCCCTGCCACTATCCAGAGGTAAGTGCTCTCCCTTCCTAGCACCCACAGGGCTTTTCACCTGAGCTATGAGACCTTGGAGCCAATGCTAGTAAAAGGCAGGAAGACCTGGGTTCTCCTCTTAGCTCTGTTACCAACTTGCGTGATCTTAAACAAGTCATTTTCCTTCCCTAACTTTCTTCTCTGCAAAATGAGGAAGGGTTGCCCTAACTGTCTCTCTAAGGTTCCTTTCAGCTCTAATAAGACATTTATAAGTCTAGCATCCTGTAAAATTATTCCCCTTGTCTCTCTCTCTGGGGTGCCAGTCTTTGTCCTCCCTATTCTGAGGAACAGCTCATCAGGTCTCCTGACACCATGCATGACTTTTCTTGGACACCAATTCCCTTCGTCCACTACCCCGAGGCCTAGAATTTGACTTGGTGATGGAATTTGTCTCTCTGGTAACCTTCCCTGTGAGCACGGACCCTACTTGGGTCTCTGAGATGTCTGGTGAATGAGGAGCCTTTACCAATGAAGGGCTCAGTAGATCTAAAATCTACCCTTTCCTTCTCTTCTAGCTCTGAGAAACCGATGGAGGAGAGCCTGGGGGAAGCAGAGAAAGCTCTCAGTGGAAAGCAGGGTTCTCAGATCTCAGAAACGATCCCTGGACAAGCCAGCTCCCCCCCGGGTGCTACTAGCAAGCTTGCAGAAGGAGGGAAGAAGTTAGTAGATCCTCAGGCAGGGAGCCAGAAGGAGAAGCCTTTGGAGAAGGCTCAGGTCCCAGAAGGAGAGGGATCCCAGACCCAGCCCAGCCCAGCTAGTCCTCCCAAAGTCCATCCGGACAGCAGCTCAGCTAAAGGAGAAGGGGACAACCCTGAAGGGATCGTGTTCCAGGCTGTTCCCTTGGAAAAAGAGGCAACAGAGAAGACCGCCTGTCCTAGTGCCAACAAAGAGGATAACTATGAGATTCTGGGTAGGTTTAGCGAGGAGGTGGGGTTCAGCAGGGGTGTTGCCTGTATCTAGGGCATAGTTTCCAAACTCTAGTGCTTTCTCCCCCAACTCAGTGGGGTCTGTAGCCTGCTGAAGAATCAAAGGGACCAGGATCTTGTGCCAACCAGATCCAAGGCCCAGCCTGAATGGCCCCCAGGGCAGTAATATTAGACTCAGAAAAGATACTGCCAACCCTACTCTCCCCCCACCCCTCCAGCCTGAGGACAAGTCGGGGCCTGACCTTTGCTCGCTCAGCTCAGGCTCCCAGACAGGATTCCCTTCCTGGCCAAGAAGAGGGCTTGAGGCAGGGACACTGAGCCCTGACATCGAGCAGATGTCACTGGATAGGGCTGGAAAACCAAGCAGCCTCATGCATTGGGGCAGAAGTCTGAGTTCAGCTCTGGTTTCCTCCCCAGCTTCCAGTCTGTCCTCCCACCCCCACTCCATGCCTACACTTCTCCTACCCTAATGAGGCAGAAGCCTAAGCAGTATGTAAGATGCTTTGAGATCCTTTGCAGACCAGAGGAAGATTTTTGTTTTGTTTTTTTAAAGAAAGGAAGCAGGCTTGCTAACAAGAACAATAATAATTACACATCATGTTTCTATAGTGTTTCAAGCTTTATAAAGTACTTTTTGTTTTTTTTGCTTTTTGGTGAGGCAATTGGGGTTAAGTGATTTGCCCAGGGTCACACAGCTAGTAAGTGTCAAATGTCTGAAGCCAGATTTGACTCCAAGGCCTGAGCTCTATCCACTGTGCCACCCAGCTGCCCCCGACAAAGTACTTTCTTCACATAAAATGTGAATAATCCTTTCTCAACCCATCTCACAGGGGTGTTATGAATAATGACGACGACGACGACGATGATGATGATGATGATGACAGCTAGTATTTATTAAGCATCTACAATGTGTCAGGAACTGTTCTAATTATCTGACCTGAGTGGCTTGGTGCAGATGTGAATGACTGTGATCATTAGGTTCTAGATCCAGCTGTGAAGGATTGTGATAAGGACCATAGGTAGCAGGAAAGGATGCCAGAGGCCATCTAGTCCTATCCTCCCATGTCGCAGATACAGAAACTGAAGACTAGGGAGTTAAATGACTCGTCCAAGGCCATGTACATAGTGGATAGCAGAGTAAGAATTTGAACCCAGATTCTCTGATTCCCAATCCATTGCCCTTTTTCAATGTACTCAGCTTCCAGATGTGAGGGAGTTTCATTTTTGAATTCTAGATACAGATGTGAGGGGGCTAGACTTCTAAAGATTGTTAGGTTCTAGACTCAAATGTGCAAGGTTAAATTCTAGCTGTAGATATGAAAATTTGGGGCTGTTTGATTCTAGATAATTAATGAGAGGAGTTGAGGTTGTTAGGTTCTAGATATGAATGAAAGATATTGGAATTGTTAGGTTCTAGACAAAACTGGAGGGGTTAAGTTCTAGAGACTGATAAGAAGAGTAGGATGGTTATGTTCCAGATGCAGATAAGAGGGGTTGGAATTGTTTGGTTCTAGATACAACTGTGAGGGCTAAAATTCTAAATATTGATGAGAGGAATTGAGATAATTGGGTTCCAGATACAGATGATGGGGATTGGGATTGTTGGGTTCTAGATACAGTGGAAGGAAATTTAAAGGGTTAGTTTCCAGATACAGATGGGGGGTTGGGATTGTTGGGTTCTAGATTCTAGATCATTCTGCTGGAGCGAGAGGTTGGGAGTGGCAGTCTGGGTATGGAGATGAAGGGCTGGGCTCGTTGGTCTCTAGATGTGCATGACTGAGACTTTTAGTTTCTAGATACAGATATGAGGGGCTGTGAGAAAGCTGCCAAAGTGAAGAATTTGTGACTTATGGAATTAGAAGGACTCTGGATGAAATGCCCGGCTCACTACTTGTCTTTACTTTAACCGATGCAGACATAAGTAGACCTTGGTCCCTGCCTTCAGGGAGGTCATAACGGTCTGGGCTGGGGAGACATCTCAGGTGGATCAGAGTATGTAAATGCTGATCTTTGGGGCACAGAAAGAGGGACTCCAGGAGCCCACAGAAGGGAGGAGCTCCACGAAGTCTTGGGCTGCATTGCTCCAGGCAGGTTTGATGGGCATTCTCGAAGGCCTGGGGACTCCAGAGGGGCTATAATGGGAGCAGCAGTGCCTGACGAAAGGAGTCAGACTGAAAGATTTCTAATGGCCTTTCTGGTTCTGTTCGGGCACATCCTAAGATCACATTCAGCTCTAACACTCTATTATGAAAGAGGCAGCTGAATAGACATCCAGCATAAAGCAATGGTTTGGGAGTTAGAAAGACTTGGATTGAGTCCTGCCTGTGACACATACTTGCTATATGACCATGGACATGTTACTTAACCTCTAAATGTTCTCAGGCAACTCCATAAAACCACGTTAGACAGGAAAAAAAAAGGGGGGGGCAGCTAGGTGGGCGCAGTGCATAGAACTCCAGCCTTGGAGTCAGGAGGACCTGAGTTCAAATTTGGCCTCAGATACTTGACACTTAACTAGCTGTGTAACCCTGGGCAAGTCACTTAACTCCGCTTGCCTCACTAAAAAAAGCAAAATAATAATAATAATAATCAGTTAGAGAGGAGTTGCTGTTCATCAGTGGAAAGAATTTCCACCCCGGGAGCTCCCTACACATGGAATTACTGGTATGGAACACAAACATTCTGTTGAGGGCCCTCTCAGATCTAGAGTCTGTGACTTTATCCTGAGGCAATAGAGAACCATAGAATGTTCTTGAACAGAGGAGGAACAAAATGAACCTGAAGGGAAATAAGCATTTATATAGAGCCTACTGTGTGCCAGGTGATTCACAAATATTATCTCATTAGATCCTCAGAACAACCCTTCAGGTAGGTTCTATTATTATCCCTATTTTCCGATTGGGGAAACTAAGGCAGACAGAGGTCAAATCACTTGCCCAGGGTCACACAGGTGGAAAGTATAAGTATCTGAAGGCAGATTTGAACTTGTCTTCCTGACTTCAGGCCCAGCGCTCTATCTACTGCTCCACCTAGCGGCCTCCTAGGGGCACATTAAGGCCTTGATGAATAATACTTGTCTTTAATTCCTCATGGGATGGGTATGGCTGGAATAGACTCTTGTCAGGGCCCTGGGGAGAGGTGAGGCGGGGTGAAAAGAATATGTGGGGTCAAGAAGATGGTGGAGAGTCAGTAACAACCTGCCACACTGGACCCAAAGTCTTTCCTGTGCCACACTGCCGCTCCCTTGCAAAGAGGCTGGGCTCCTGTGACACAGGTCTGAAGGAAGCCTTCTGAGAGGGCTGCCTCCCATAGAAAGCTCTGCTGCTCCACGGGATCCAACCCATTTACTTTCAGCCCTGAGCAAAGGCTGCTTATTCCTGGTCTCTGGCACTAGGTGGCAACCTCTGTCTATGGCAAACGTGGCTTCTCAGAGTCACTGGGGGTTTCTTCCCCTTCTTTCTCTCCCCCAAATAATAATAATTAATATTTATATAGCACTTACTATGCGCCAGGCACAGTGCTAAGCACAATTATTTTCTCATTTGATCCTCAAAACCCCAGGTGTTACTAATATCCCCATTTTACAGATGAGGAAACTGAGGTAGGCAGAGGTTAAGTGACTTGCTCAGGGTCTCATAGCTAAGAAATGTCTGAGGCTGGATTTGAACTCAGGTCATAACAGCTAACATGTATATAGATCTTTAAACTTTACAACGCCCAATCATGGGAGGTAGGTGCTATGATTGTCCCCATATCACCAATGAGGAAACTGAGGCTGAAAAAGGTTATAAATGACTTGTCCAAGGTCATGTAGCTAGGAATATCTGATGCAGGATTTGAACTCAGATCTTTATGGTACTAGTCAGATACTCTATCTGCCATCTTGCTGCTTCTCTTTCTCCTCATAACCAGTATGTTTCAGCCCCTGTGTCCATGAATAAGGCCATCAGGGAAGAATGTCTCCAGGAAGGGGTTGGTTCCCTAGCCCCAACAGACCTCTGCCTTGGACACTCGATGACGGTAGTAGTGGGACTGGGAGGTACTCGGAGGTGTCTGTAAGGCTTTTAGGGTCCTGGACTATAATGAAATATAGAATGACAGCTCATTCAACTTGCTCATTGTACAGAGAAAGAAACTGTCCTGGAGAGGTCAAGTCCCTTAATCCCAGGCCGTCGGAGTGGTAATCAGAGTAGTAATCACACAGGTTGTCGGGCTAGGATTCAAAAGCTCAAGTGCTAAATTCTACGATCCTATGATCCCAGGTTCTCTGATTCTCAGCCTACTTCCCTGTGGCTCACACAATTTTAGTCCAAGTCAGGACTCGAATCCAGTTCTTCTGACTCCTGAACTAGCCCTCCTTCCATTACAACATACTGCCTCCCTCCCACATTATCAGCCGTTAATGCTTGCTCCCAGAGCTTTAGCAGGGATTAACTAAAATCGGCTGAGCATAAGGAAAGGACTGGGGATCCGCCTGAGTTCCTAGGGGGTTGGGTGGGTCAGTTGTGGAGGTGTTTTTCTAAGGGAGTGTGGTCCTGCTCCTTTCCCAGAGCTGATTCATATTCTGTCTGCTTAGCCCAGTCTATGCTCTGCGCTCAACAATCTCTGAATCCGTGAACAAGCATTGATTAAGTGCCTCCTGTGTGCCACGCAGCAGAGAATGACAAAGGCCAGCCCTCCTGCCTTCATGAATGTGTCTTTTATTTGTTCTCAGATGACTGCCCCCCTCCTCCGGCTCCCTTTCCCCATCGCATTGTGGAGCTAAGGACCGCAAATGTGAGCAGTGAATTCACCATCAATTCCCAGCATCAACTGGGAGGGTAAGAAGCCAGACTGATGCATGGGTGGAGAGCCTATGCCAGCCTGGTTTGGGTGCAAAGGGAGGGCAGGCAGGAGGGCAGGTAATTCAATCCCTTGAGATTTATTGAGCACTTACCCTAGGTGCTAGCGATGAAGGCAGGGCCCTCGTCTGGTTGTTGAGGAGGGTGAGGAGGAGACAGGGAGAGGAAATCGACACTGGAGATCCCTACCTGCCCACCTTTAGCATAGATGGACCCAAGTGGGTCCAACTTGCCTGGCAGTGTGCCTTGTATGTAGAAGGCATTTAATAAATGCTGGTTGAATTCAATTCAATTGGACTGGATTGAATTGAATTAAACCAAAATTGATTCCAACCCACCATTTATTAAGTACCTCCTATGTGCGAGGCACTTTGCCAGGCATTGGTGATATAAAGACAAACAGGAAGCAGTTCTTGCCCTCAAGGAGATTATATTCAACTGTGGAGATCCAACATGTACACAGAGAAGTATTATACCAGGTAATTTGAAAAGGGAGAGAGTATTAGTGCCTAGGGGGGAAACTAGGGGGAGTTTCAGGAATCCCCACATCTCTCCCGCTTTATTGGAGGCAGAGAAAGGTGAACGTGGGGAAGGCGGGTGCTATCCCCTTAGCAAGGTAGCTGTGGAATATTCTCAGAGGGAGTGGAAAAGAGTGCTGGAAAAAGCTGGGTTCAAATTCTGCTACACTTACTGGCTGTGGGACCCTGAGCAAGTCATTTAATCTCTTTAAGTCTCAGCTTCCTTGTCTGCAAAATGGCATAATAACAGTGCTCAAACTAGGGAATATTTATGAATGTTTTGTAGACTTTAAAGCTGGGGTATGCTGGAACCAACTCCAGCTGGCTCAGGAGAGTCAATTGTTAAATTTTCAATGTGAGCATTTACACCTCTTAAAAACCCACAAGTCATTTATTGTTTTATTGATTTGTTGTTTTGTCATTCATCTAGACCAGAGGTTCCCAAACTTATTTGGCCTACTGCCCCCTTTTCAAAAAAAATTTACTCAGCAGCCCCATGGAAATTTTCTTTAACCCTTTAGCATTTTTTATGAAATTTGCATCATTAAAATATATGTGTGTGTATATATATATATATATATATATAATATATGTAAAAAAGACACATCTTAAATTTAATAATTTATTGTAAATTTGTGGGGTTTTTTCCTGCATTGAAACTTTGATGATGCAATATTGCATCATGTAACTGTATAGTACTGCATTGTAAACAAGTCATCATACTCACATATTCCTGCTGATGCATGTTGGACTTCCTGCCAATGCGTGACATGCTCATGTGCCAACAGTTGCTTGTTAAGACCTGTCATCGGACTTGACCACTGATCAGTTATAGCTTGCATTTTACGTGTTTATTTGGAAAATAATGTAAGCACCATGACTTTAACTCTGTTACACAACAGATGAAACGTACAAATTTTCTTATTTTCTCTTCTTTCCTTGTGCTTTCACCACCCCCTTATTTTTATTCAATGCCACTCAATTGCACCCGAGACTACTACTTCCACCCACCCCCCCATTGTCCTCCTAAGGGGTGGTATTGGCCATTTTGGGAACCTCTGGCTAGACTTAAGAAAGTGATAGAGAAAAATAATGAAGATTAAACCTAAATGTGTGCTTTGTATATGCATTTTTTTTCAGGAGCTGGTTATTAAACATTTACCAGCATACTCCTGATTAAAGCAAACAGATTAACATTAGCTATTATTATGCCTGACCTTGGACAGCCCTGACTTAGCTCACATTGCCTCTCACTGCTCAGGTCACAGGATATGGGGGTGACCCAGCTTAAAAGGTGGGGTGTGTTTGTGTAATGTTTTGATGTTCTTTTGTACACACACACACACACACACACACACACACACACACACACACACCCCGTGCATACAAAACCAGTGATCCTTCCTGGTTCTCCCTTCCCTATAGGCTTTGATCTTTTGGACCTCCCCTGGGGGAAGATTGGAGCTCCTAAGAGAGGCCTGAAGTGTCCTTTAGTTATCCCTCAAATCTACTTGAGGGCCATCTCCAGTCATCCTGATGGATATTTGGCCACTGGACTCAGATGACTCCAGAGCAGAAAGTGAGGCTGGTGACTTTGCCCAGCCCTCCCTCACTTAAATCACCTCCCTGATGTCATGGTCCTCTTCCAGAACAAAGGACAAACAACAATAATCTATTTAATTTATTTGTTTTATTGTTGGATTCTCATGGCAGTCTCACTTGGTCATTACAATTTTATAGATGAGGAAAGGGGCAGCTAGGTGGCACAGTGGTTAAAGTGCCAGGCCTGGAGTCAAGAAGGCTTATCTTCATGAGTTCAAATGTGGCCTCAGACACTTACTAGCTGTGTGACCATAGGCAAGTCACTTCACTTTGTTTGCCTCAGTTTCCTCATCTGTAAAATGAGCTGGGAGAAGGAAATGGCAAACTACCCCAGGATCTTTGCCAAGAAAACCCCAGATGGGTTCATGAAGAGTCAGACAGGACTGAAATGGCTGAACAACGGATGAGGAAAATGAGACTCATTGAGAAGAAGGACCTTGTTGGAGGTCACGCAGAGCCAGGGCTAGAATCTAGTCCAGTTATCTTTCTCCCCAGGGAGTGGGTGGGGTCAGTGATCAATCTGGGTTGGGGCCAAGCTGTTGTTGGGCATATTGTACCTTGTTCCTTTGGCCAATGGCCCTCTGACCCTCAACTCCTCCTTTCCCTAGGGGGAAATTTGGGGAAGTTTGCACGTGTACAGAGAAAGCCTCGGGCCTCAAATTGGCTGCAAAGATCATCAAGAAGCAAAGCCCAAAAGACAAGGTGGGGTCTTCCAGGGCAGCAGGTGGATCCTGTCTGTCTACTCATCCTCTGGGAGTGGATGGGGCACTGACAAGCTGGGTGACTCCAGCTGGGTGGCTCTACAGGCATCCTGTCTTTCCCAGCTCCCTCCATCTATCACGCATGTCCCTTCTAGAATCTCTCTCCCCTGTAGAAGGCTATAGGAAGAGAGCTCCGTGGAGAGAATACCTGAACTGCAGATTCTTCCACTTTCTCCCTACCTAGGGCTCTGCCTTCTTGATCAGACTCTAGACTTTCCCTTGGTCCAAAGAAGGCAGTTTGAGGTCCATCTCTCTCCCCTTCATCCTTGCCCCAGAAAGATACCTAGCCTCTATAATTCCAGCATCCAGCACAGGATTGCAAGCAGCGAGACATTTGTTTAAGGCTTGATGGTCATGAAGGTGATGGTGAACATGATGATAATGGTGATAATGATGTCGGTGATGGTGGTGGTGATAATGATGATGGTGGTGAGGCTGCTGCAGAGTTAATGGTAGTAGATTTAGTGACCAGTGGTGATAATGATAATGGTCGTGATGATGATGTGGTGGTGATGGTGATGATGGTGGTGGGGGTGGGGTGGTGATGGTGGCGGTGATGCTGTTGCAATATTAATGATGCTGGTGAACATGGGGACTGTGATGGAAGATGTTGTGGTGATGGAGGTGATGATGATGATGGCAAATATAGAAAATGGTTAAAAAAAAAAGGGGGTCTAGCGATGATGGTGATAGTGATGCTGTCAATGTTCTCTGACTGTTTCTGGAACCCAGGAGATGGCACTGTTGGAAATTGAGGTGATGAACCAGCTAAACCACCATAATCTTATCCAGCTCTATGCAGCCATTGAGACCTCACATGAGATCATCCTGTTCATGGAATTGTGAGTGAACAATTAGGGAGAGGGTGGGCATTCTCCAGGAAGACGGAGGAGCTCATTCTGCACCTGAGCCTTCAATGTGACCTCCACTTCCTAAACCTCAAGCGGCCTTCCCTGAAGAACTGCAGGCCCCCTCCCCTAGATCCATATCTACCCCAGGAAAGCCAATCTTCTAGTGCCAAACACACATCTAGCCAGTGTGGGGTGGTGGGAAGTGTTCTGTGTTTGGCTCAGAAGATCTGGGTTCAAGTTCTGACTTTACCATGTCAACAAACATCTGTTCAGGAAACATCTATCAGATACCCACCATGTGTACAGCTGTGTGCTTTGTGCTGGGGAAGTCACAAAGTTTAGATGAGACAGGATGCCTGCCCTCATGGAGCTCACATTCTAGTGGGGGTGGGAGATAGGGGGAAAAGATACAGACAAGGTTGCTATGATATACAATATTTTGTTATACATATAGTGAGCAGTACAAATAAAATGTCATGCATGGGAGATTAGAGGAGGATCAGGGACTGCTTTCTGGAGGAGTTGGGCCTTCAAGAGTGTGTGGGATTCCAACAAGCAAAAGAAACAGGTTGGGGGAACATTCTAGGCATAGAAAATATTGCCTGAGCAAAGGCATTTGTCAGTGCAAGGTATCCTGGGGGAGGTCCAGCTTGGATTGAGTACTGAGTATAAAGCTAGAAAGGTAAATAAAGTGTTGCCAGATAATTGCGGGCTTTGAAGGCAAGGAAAGGGACTCTAACCTTTACTTGGCTGGTAATAAGGAGTGACTAGAGTTTTTGAGTAGGGGCATGACAAGACGGATTTATACACAAGGAAGATTTATACAACAGGATAAAAGATAGATTGAAGGGGGGAAAGTGTGGAAATAGAAGAATCTAGGCAGATAGTAATGAAGGCCCATACAAGAGGAGTGGCAGGAGGTACAGAGAGGATGGATGAGGTATGAGAGAGAATTCAGACACAAAACTGACAGGTTAACTGGAGGGAGAGGTGAAGGAGCAAGAAGAATCAAAGGTTGCATGAAGGTTTGGCTGGAAAGGAGGGCATTGCTAGATTGGGGCCCTGAGAAAAGTTCAGCTTGGGTAGAGGCTGTGGGTCCACAGCCCTTGGTATAGAGGGTATGGAGAATATGAGTCTGAGGCTAGCAAGATGGGGCGCTGCTAGACGGTAGAGGGCTTGGGTGCTAGGCAAAAGTATTTGAACTTTCTCTGGCTATGTGATCCTAGGCAAGTCATGGTCTTGCCCTGAGCCTCAGTTTCCTCATCTGTAAAATGGGACAGATAATCCTCATGTTATTAACCTTCACAAAGCTGTGTGGGGAAATCTATCTAAAAATATCGGCTCTGATGATGTTGATTGTTGGATGGGGCTGGGTGGGAAAAGAGGGTGTCTAGAGACTGGGGTCATGGTGGCATCTTATACACCCAGCGTGGAGGGCGGAGAGCTGTTCGAGAGGATTGTGGATGAGGACTACCAGCTGACCGAGGTGGATACCATGGTGTTCGTCAGGCAGATCTGTGACGGGATCCTCTTTATGCACAAAATGAGAGTCCTTCACCTAGACCTCAAGGTACCTGGGTTGCCAGAGCCAGTCTGAGCTTGGGTCAATGGACTGAGGAGGAGGGGTGAGGGGCACGGGAAGGTGGTCATGAATAGGCCTGGAACAGTCGGCCTCCGAGTGTCCTATGGGCCCTGCTTGGGTGGAACACTGTCTTGAGTTTGCAGAACTTACATGGGAAGAGAACTCCTGCTTTCTGGGGCTCTTCCAGCCTTACTTTAGGCCTCTCAAAAATAGGGATGATAATGCTTGTATTCCCTGCTTCACAGGCAGAGTGAGGAAAGCCCTTTGTAAATATTAAGGTCTACAGAATTTTGAAGTCTGAATAATTATTATTACAGCCTAGCATGGCAGACAAGACGGATGGAGGCATAGTTAGAGGGGCACTGGGAAGATCACATACCCACTGTCCTGGGCCAGCGCCAGAATCTTGCACCATTAGAATTCTATTCTTACCATTCATTAACACCCAAGTTTATCAAAACTTTTCCTGGGAACAGATTCTGATTTGGGGGAATAGGGAAAGAGGTCCAAGCCCAGGATACTGTCTGAGCAGGACAGATCGGCCTAGGTGGGGGGCCTTGAGAAGCCAATGGCTGCAGAGGGGTGCTGGGCACCTGAGAAAGGGTGCCACAGGGAGATGGGGCCTGCAGGGAAGACAAACTGCCCCAGCATCACTCTTTCTACTGGCTCATCATCACCAAAGACCAGGTCTGGGTGCAAGTCATACAGAGGTGATGGGGAGGGATGCCTTGCCCCTCCTCCCCAGAGGGACATTCAGACAATGTCAAGATTCAGAATGCTGGGAGGGACATTAGAACAGAGTGGCAGAAGTATGTGTGTTTGGTGGGGGGTTCTTAGAAAACAGAATTTTAGAACTTGGGAGAGGTATCTAATAGAATGTTAGAACACAGAATGTTAGATCATGGAATGTGAAGGGACCTTAGAACACAGAATGTCAGGGTGGGGGAGGTGGTCCTTAGAAAATAGAATATCAAAACTTGGGGGTGGTATTTAACAGAATATTTAGAACATAGAATGTCAGATCCTTAGAAAACAGAACGTCAGAACTTGGGGGGGGGAGGTGTAGTAGAATGTTAGCACATAGGTTGACAGAGCTGGGAGGGACCTTAGGATATAGAATGGCAGAGGCTGAGAGGTCCTTGGAAAATAGAATGTCAGAACTGGGGCGGGGGAGGGCTAACAGAATGTTAAAACATAGTGTTAGTTAGATCATAGGATGTTAAAACATAGACTGGTGGAGAGCTGGGAGGGACCTTAGAACATAGAATGTCAGGGTGGGGGAGAAGGTCCTTAGAAGATAGAGAATGTTAGAACTGGTGGAGGGGTCTAACAGAATATCAGAACACAAAATGTTAGAAGATAGAATGGCAGAGCTGGGGGCCTTAACAGAATGTTAGAACATAGGCTGGAAAGAACAGTAAAGTCCATCCACCTCATTTTAGAGATGGGAAAATAGGCCCAGAGTAGGGAGCAGAGTGATATAGTAAGTGTCAGGGCCAGTACTAAAAGCTCATGTCATGAGGCCTTGAAGAAAAGAGACAATTTGAAGAGCTGAGGAAGGAAAGTAGGGAAGGCCTTTCCCCAGGGAGTACCTTGAGATTATTTGGGGAGAGGGGTGGCAGGTGGTGCTGGGGTAATCAGGGTAGGTATCCAGGCCAGGGCAGAAATAGGAGCCTCTGGGTCTGAGGGGGCTGTGTGGGTGTGGGGGCCTTGTCCTGTCTCTGCAGCCTGAGAACATATTGTGTGTCAGCACCACGGGACACATGGTGAAGATCATCGACTTTGGCCTGGCACGGAGGTACACCTCCTCTCCTCCCTCCCCTGTCCTGTCCTCCCAGCCCCCTCCCTCCGCCCCCATTAGTGGGTGGGGTAGGGAAGAACCACTTTTCGCCAGCCCTGTGACCTCCTGCTCGAGTGGGGAGGGGAGGGCAGGCTAGCGGAAGGGGAGTGTCCCAGTCTGCGGTCTGCAGTCTTCCCAGGGGTTTGGCCAGGAGTTTGAGAACACCAGCATGCCCTGTGCTTGGGCCCTGGGCTTTCCGGCTGTGTGCCTGGAAGTGGAAGGGGGGGGGGCGGGAATCAAAAAGGTAACGACCCTTTTGGGAGCCAACACCCACCCACTGGCACCTGAACCTGAACCTGAACCTGTGCTCCCCTGCTCCCTTCTCCCTCCAGGTACAATCCCAACGAGAAGCTTAAAGTCAACTTTGGGACCCCTGAGTTCCTGTCCCCAGAAGTGGTGAATTATGACCAAATATCTGATAAAACAGACATGTGGAGTATGGGCGTGATCACCTACATGCTGTGAGCCAGGCCTCTGGGCCTTTCTCTGCAGCCCAGGGAAAAGGGGAAGGGCATTAGTCTTGCTGAAGGTGGAAAGGAGAGGACATAGAACTCATAGCCTAGCCAGTTGTGTCCAGGGTGCTAGACTGAGAGCCAGCAGATAGGGGATTGCATCCCACTTTTGCTTCTTCCCACTTGTGTGTGTCCTGGACCACTCTGGGCCTGTTTTCCCATCTCTGAAATGAGAGATTTGGGTTAGATGAACTCCAAGGTCTTTTCTAGCTCTCTCTAAATCCTGGGAAGAGGTATAGACAGGGGAAAGACCACTAGAGTTGGAGTCAGAGGGCCCCGGTCTCTGTCATAGCTTTGCCACTAATCTGCTGGGTGACTTTGGACAAGTCTCTTCATCTCTGGGAGCCATGGTTCTCCAAGTGCATCATGGAGATCATAATAGCTCACCAGAGAGGCGTGATAGATAGAAAACGGGCCTTGGATCCAGGGGGAACTGGGCTTGAGTCCCACCTCTGACACCTGCTGCCCTGTTTGATCCTGGGCCAAGTTGCCTAACCTCTCAATGCCTAAGGTAACTGTCTAAGGCTGCAGGTCACAGAAGCTGCCCAGAGGCATTCCTTGCTGGGACTTCCCTATACCCCTCACATCACCGATCTGAACCAAAACCAGACAGACCTCTATTCTCATTAATAAAATCGCCATTTCTATAGTAAACATGGATCACCAAATACTTTAGGTTTGCCTCACCAGATTGTTACAGGGAGAAAAGGACTTTGTAAACCTTAAAATGCCGTAGAAACGTGTTTGGTTAAGGTCATTTTATTTGCTAGCCTTCTTGAGGCTAGTAAAGGAGAGAGAGGGAAAGGGAATGGAAAAAAAAATCAGATTCTCAAGAGAGGAAATAACTTCCCTAAGATCCAGAGGTGAATTATCAGAGCCTTTGAAAGGAAAGAAGTTACAACCCAATGTTCTAGTCTCAGATGCTAGAGGTTCTCAGAGACTTGAGAAAGAGAACAGGAGGGTGTGAACTTCCAGGGAGGCCTCCAGGGCTGGAAGGGTGCTTCCTGCTGCCTATTGGGCAAAGGATCAGATGTCTTCTGAGCAGGCTGGGATGGGCAGTCCCTCTTCAGGGATCAGAGCTGCTGGGACATCGGAAAGAGCCCTTCCTATGTGAGGGAGCTCCCAGCTCTGCTACTGACTTGCTGGGTGATTTGGGGCAAGTCTATCCTCTTTTGTGGGCCTTGGATTTCCCATCTCTAAAGTGGGGATGATAACACTTCCCTTCCAGCAACTGAATGAAATAACAGATGTGACGGTACTTTGAAAAGTATCCAAATGTCATATGGCAATAAGTTAGTATTTATATGGTACTTTGTTATTACTGTTGTGTTGATTTAGTCATGTCTGACTTTTCATAACCCCATTAGGGTTTTTTGTTTTTTGGGTTTTTTTGCAAAGATACTGGAGTGCTTTGCCATCTCTTTCTCTAGCTCATTTTACTGATGAGGAAACTGAGGCAGAGTTAAGTGACTAGCCCAGGGACACACAGCTAGTGAGTGTTAGATGTCTGAGGCTGGATTTGAACTCAGGTCCTACTGACTCCAGGGCCAGTGCTCTATCCACTGCACCACCTAGCTGCTCCTAAACTTGTTTTTAAAAAATATTTTGAATACTGTACTTCAATGTAATTGGATTCTTTTGTAATCCCATGCATTTTATTTGATGCATTTAGAAATGTGCTTCTGAGAAGGGGTCCATAGGCTTTACTGGGCTGCTGAGGGGGGTCAGGACACAAAGTTAAGAACCCCTGAGATCTCTAGTGGAAGCCATTCACTCCACTTAGAGACCATTCTTATGATGAAAAGTTTTTCCTTCCATCTTTTGGCATTTACAACCATGTTCCTCTGACTCTGCCCTACTCCCTCTCCTCTCCTCCCTCATAACCCTTTCTTCCTCCACATACTTCCCCCTCCCACCCCTCCTGGCAGGCTGAGTGGCCTCTCCCCATTCCTGGGAGATGATGACACTGAGACCCTCAACAATGTCCTGGCTGCCAATTGGTATTTTGATGAGGAGACCTTCGAGACCATCTCAGAGGAGGCGAAGGACTTTGTATCCAACCTCATTATCAAGACCCCCAGGTGAGGCCTGGGCCCCTGTCATTTTTCCCATCCTGACTGTCTCTTCTGTGACCCCACCCTGACCCCAGTCCCATTCATCGCTTTAAATCACTCATACAAAATGGCCTACCACTTGGGAGACCCAAGCTGTGGTTCTGATTCTGCTCCTCACTCACTTGGGGCAAATCCCGTTCCCTTTCTGGGCTTCAGTTTCTCCAGATGTGACACGAGGTTAGACTAGATCAGTGGTTTTCAAAGTGTTGTTCTGGGACTCCTGGGGGTCCCCAAGACACTTTCAGGGCATCTGCAGAGTCAAAACTATTTTTATGGGAATCCTAATACATTTTAATTTCTAATATGGTAAATATTGAGAGATACATTACACACTAACAAAGCTCTTTGGAGGGGACCTCAGTAATTTTTAAGAGTATAAAGGAGTCCTGATACCAAAAAATTTGAGAACTGCCGAACTGTGATGAAAATGATGCCTAAAGCCCCTTCCAGCTTTGGCGTGCTGGGATTCCTTGACCAGAAGCATCCTTCCTCCCAGCCAAGGGCCCTCTTCCCCATCCCTCCGTGGGGTCTGGGATATGTGGGTCAGCAGGGTTCTGCAGAGTCCGGGCAGGGTGGATGTGGACTCTGATGAAGCCACCTTCCCTAGAGACCGGATGAGTGCGGCTCAGTGTCTGGCACACCCCTGGCTCAACAACCTGGCAGAGAAGGCCAAGCGCTGTAACCGACGCCTCAAGTCTCAGATCCTGCTCAAGAAATATGTGATGAAACGCCGCTGGAAGGTATTCGGGTCAAAGAGGGGATGGAGGAGGCCCACGAGGGTGGGGCCAGAGAGGGGACCCGGAGGAGTGCACAGTATCTGGGTCACGGACCCAGGCTGCCCCAAGCTCACCACCTTGGCATACAGGCAGAGAGTTGGAAGAGACCAAACTCCCCTCCCACCTCTTGGAGTTGGGGCAAGTGACTTTCCCAAGGTCACCTAGGTAGTAAGGAACAGAGCCAGAGTTAACACCAGGGACCTCTGATTTCAAGTGATTTCTGCTACATTTTAATTGCTGCCAGATTGGCAATCCTGTTATTTGATTTGGTTCGGTTTAGTCAGTCAATCAACAAGCATTTATTAAGTGCTTACTGTGTGCCAGGCACTGTGCTGACTACGGAGGAATTAAAAAGAAAGGTAAAAACATAGTCTCTGCCCTCAAGGCACTCACATTCTAAGGTGCAAAAAAACCACACATTGGGGGGCAGCTAGGTGGCACAGTGGATAGAGCTCCAGCCTTGGAGTCAGGAGGACCTGAGTTCAAATCCGGCCTCAGGCACTTGAAACTTACTAGCTGTGTGACCCTGGGCAAGTCACTTAACCTCGATTGCCTCACCTCCCCCCCAAAAAAAAAACTTTAAAAAAAGAAAAAAAACATATGTTCAAAATATGTACCATGTGAATCAGGGAGGATCACAGAACTTGAGTTGGAAGGGACCTTAGAGTCATCTAATTCAGTTTAATAATAATAATAGCTAGCTAGCCCTTATACAAAGCCTTAAGGTTTGCCAAAGGTTTACAAATATTATCCTATTTGATCCTCACAATGACCCTGGGAAGTAGGTGCTTTTATTATCCCCATTTTACAAGTAAGAAAACTGAGGCAGACAGAGGTAAAATGACTTGCCAAGGGTCACACAGCTAGTAAATATCTAAGGGTGGATCTCTCACTCCAGGCCTGGTCCCTCTCCACCATGCCATCTAGCTGCCGGTGACTTGATTCAATTTAGCAAACATTTCCCAAACCTGTACTCCAAACAGGGGCCTCACACGAAGATTAAGTGAGACCTAGGCAGTGGGAATGTGTGGACAATAATAATGGCAATCGTAATAATGATAAAACAAAGCCTTCTTCTGATGCTTCCTCCTGGCATCGCGGAGGTAGGCGGTGCGGGGCTCTCACAGGCAGCACAGACTTCGCTTGCTTTCGCCAACCTGTGAAGGCTTTGAAAACAGCTTCGTGCTAGACTGTGTGTCTGACTCAGGAGAGCCAGCCTAGCTGAGTGCAGAGAGGAAGCTCACATGTTGACACCCCCCCATCCCCACCCCCGAAGGCCATTCGGTTTGGCTGCAACACCTTACGAGAACCCTCCAAGGTGTGAAGATACCGTGATGGTTTCTGTCAGAGCAGTAGTGTCCTGATGAAATCACAGATGCCTGAAGAACTGAAGTGACAAAAGTAACTGCCATTTCTTCACTCCTTTGGGGTTTACAAAGAACTTTCCTCATGACAGATTTAGGCACAAGTGTAACCAGGCCGGGGCAATTGGAGCTTTGTTCTAGGGTGCTGAAATTTAAAGGGCACCAATAGTATATGTATTCCTTTGGTGGAACTAAAGCTCAGAAACGTTTGACCTTAGCATTCAGTTAGAACTGAATTGTCTTAAAAAGGTTGACGAGGGCAGTAGCTAGGTGGCGCAGTAGATAGAGCTCTGGCCTTGGAGTCAGGAGGACCTGAGTTCAAATGTGACCTCAGACATTTGAAACTTACTAGCTGTGTGACCCTGGGCAAGTCACTTAACCCCCATTGCCTGGCCAAAAAGCAAACAAACAAAAAAAGGTTAGTGAGAGGGAGTTTTTCATGTTTGTCTTGGCCACATATTATGGTATTTGCTCCAGGTACCATAATTGTTAATTAGAGCTCTCGTAGATTATTATTATCCCTATTTTACAGGTGAGAAAACTGATGTTCAAAGAGCAAAGGGATTTGCCCAAAGTCACATAGGTGGTAAATATCAGAGATGGAATTTGAACTAGAAGCCTCCTCTCACCAGAGCCTATGCTCTTTCTACCGCCTCTGCTACAAAACGATGTGTGATCTGTGCTACAGGATAGGTCCCTACAAAGTGATTTAGGATGGGAACAGCTAGGTGGTGCAGTGGATAGAGCTCTGGCCTTGGAATCAGGACCTGAGTTCAAATCCTGCCTCAGACACTTGACACTTACTAGCTGTGTGTGACCCTGGGCAAGTCATTTAACCCTGATTGCCTCACCAAAAAGCAAAAAAAAAAATGTTTATTTTAAAAAGAAGTGTTTGGGGCAGCTAGGTGGCACCGTGGATAGAGCACTGGCCCTGGATTCAGGAAGACCTGAGTTCAAATTCAGCCTCAGACACATAACACTTACTAGCTGTGTGACCCTGGGCAAGTCACTTAGCCCCACTGCCAAGCCAAAAAAAAAAGTGATTTAGAGTAATGTCTGAGGAGAGTGAGAGCACTTCCATCTGGGAGAAATCAGGGCAGGCTTCCTGGAAGAGGCAATAGCTGAGTTGGGCCTTGAAGGATTTTGACAGATGGATATGAGTGAAACACTAATACAATAGACATAAGGGTCCTAAGGGGCATCAATCTTTGAATGAATCTTGGAGGAAGAAAGTCCATGTCCTGACTAGACACTTTCTATTCTCCCCTAGAAAAATTTCATCGCTGTGAGTGCTGCCAACCGTTTCAAGAAGATTAGCAGCTCAGGAGCCCTGATGACTCTGGGGGTCTGAGGCCAAGAGGGCTGTGTGGAGGCTGCCACAGAACCACCCAGAGAGCCTCAGGGGGCCCAAGGGCCCTGCAGCTGGGAGGGCCTGAGGGCAATGGGCCAGGCCCCCAAGGAAAGGACAGTCGGGGTGACCATGCCTGGACTCCAACAGCTCGGGCTTGGTGACTTGCCTCCTAACTGAGGCCCGAGCCATTCTCCGGCTCAGGGTGGGGGCTTCCCCTGCCACAAGGTGACCAGACCCACATCCCTCCCTGTTCTCCTCTCCAGGCCCCTGACACACAGACACACAATTAACCCTCTGGGTCCTGTCGTGCTTCCCCGACTGGATGCCACCTCATATACAGGCTTCATAGGATTTCAAGCAAGAAGGGGCCGTAGAGATCATGTAGCCCAATTCTCTCACTTGACAGATGGGGAAACTGAGTCAGGCCAGAGTGGGGAAATGGCTCTCTGTGGTCACACAGTGATCAGATAGCAGAGCTGGGATCGGAACCCAAGTCTTCTGGCTCCAAATTCCGCGCCCTTGTTCCTACTCTTGGGTCCTACTCTCTGAGCCCTGGAAGGGTATTCAGTGGGAAGGTCCCTCTCACTGTGCTGGGGCTATGGAGCCCATGATTCGAGGGGACAGACTTGTTTAAGACCCCGTCCAGCTTTCACTCCAGAAACTCCTCTGACCTCAGGACCTTGTATCCCATGCTACATCTAAGTAGCCTCACTGCCCCATTCCCTTTCCCCACTCTCCAGCCTCAAGGGGAGTTAATAGCCCTTTCTTGGAGCTAGTAGGTGGGTGTGGCTCATGGTCAGACTTAAGGGCCCTCAGAAGAGTAGAAGACATTACAGCATAATGGAAAAAGAGCTGGATTTAGAGTCATGAGACCTGGATTCAAATTCTGGTTCTACTACTTACTAGCTGTGGCACCTCAAGCAAGTCACAACCTCTGGGCCTCAGTTTCCTCCTCTGTAAGTGAGAGGATTTTATAAAGTGTTCTCTAAGTTCCCTTTCAACTCTAAATCCTATGATCCTGGATGCCCCAATGCTCCCAGTTCTCCTAAACATGAAGGGTACCCAGACTTTAAATCACTGTTTGCTGGGTGAGCTCTACAGCTGGGGTGGGGGGAATCCAGGGAAAAAACAGTTCCTATTATGCCAAAAGGCTCATTGCACAGAACAGAAGGAAGGAAGGAAGGAAGGAAGGAAGGAAGGAAGGAAGGAAGGAAGGAAGCCCCTGACCCAGATCCCAGAAGGAGTCCCTAGCCAGGGGGATGAGGGTGGGGGTAGACAGACAAGGGCTTTGTGTTTTCTGCTCACCCCCCTGGCCTTCCCAAGCCACCAACGGAGGCAGAGAGAGATGGAACCTGCCTCCTCCCCAGAAAAGGATTCCCCCACATAGCTAGAGTCCAGAGAGGCTGCGGTGCTAATGCAGACCAGCTGGGCCCCTAGCCGGCCTCCTCACCCCTATGAAAGCACCATTTCACAGTGACCACCAACAGGCAGGAACTTCTGTGTGTGAGGGAGCCAGAGCTCAGGAGGAGGGCAGCCCTGCCCTTCCCTCTGTCCCTTCTCCCCCTCTCCTTCCCCCCCCCCACATATACACATCCCACCATGGGTCAGCAAGAACCTGGGAAAACAGAGGTGGGGGGCAGGAGCGCTCCAGCAGTGTCCTAGCAGAGTCAGCTAGCTCTCGTAGATCGGCTATCCAGAAGCGCTTGCCATCTCTCCTTCTTATATAACTTCAGAAGGCCCGGAGACATGAGCAGGATCTTTAGATGACATCTTTGCCATCCGGAAGTGCCCAGGAACAGCCTCACTGCTCATCCCACCCTCCACCTAGAACAGGTCTAAGCGATGTATTACTGCTGGGCTCTTAGAGTGAAGTCACATGGATGGTCAGGGTGTTACAGCAGCTGGGGGTGAGGGCTGGGATGATGGATCACATCCTCAGAATGAAGAGGAGATTCAAGAGCGCTGGCTTTCATGTAAATAAATGTACAGGTTGAACAGCATCAGTCTGAATATGGAGAGGGAGGGAAGAAGAGGGGAGGGGAGGGGGAAGCCTGGGCAAGGGGTATGGTTCCCCCACCACCACTCTGTCAGACAATGAAAGGACCTGGGGTCTAGTTTCCCTGTTCTTCAAATCACATTAACTCCAAGCCCCCAGTTTTCTGTCCCTTGAACATGACCCTTTCCCTTATCCTAGAATATTGGAGATTATGTAGCTCCCCCAGCTTCCCCCGCCCCATACACGCAGAGTTTACAAATGGGGGAAAATTGAAACTCATGAAGGGGTAGGGGTTTGTCCCTACTTTGCTGGTGACAAAGCAAATTAATGGAAGAGGAATTCGGGTTGTCTGACTCTCCAAGACTAGGGCTATTTCCATTATAGAAAGAGGGGCTTCTTTCTACCCTCTGCTTTCCAGTTCAAGGCAAAGATTCCTAGACTGAAGAGGGAGACTTACACCGTTGGACAGGTTTAAACCCTGAAGAAAAGATGGGGCAGGTGTGATCATTTGACAGATCATGAAACTGAGTTCCAGAAAGGGAAAGTGATTTAGCTAAGGTCACACAGCCCAAAGAGTAGAGCACACTGCTGAGATAGGTGTAGGGTGGAAGAGTAGGAAACCTGTGGGCATGGGAATCTGCTCCCAGCTTTTCTGACATTCAGAGAAAGCCCAGCTAACAAGGTTTGCAGAATGAGGGGGATTTAGTTCACAGTCACAGTGGGTGGTCAGAGAATTTCCCTAGGGATAGAGGAAACTTTAAAGCTCCCAGGAGTTCCCTGGCCTCCCATTCAGCCTTTTACTCCACCTGCCATTTGGATCATCTCCATTACTTCCTCTTGCCCTAGTCCTATTTATTCCCCCACCCAGGCTGAGTCGCCACCCAGTGAGGGTGGGATGAGTCATTTGGAGAGGCTGGGGTGGGGAGATCAGCCTTGGGTCTGCACAGAGAGAAAGGAGTATGATGGTCCAGCCAGTACTAGTGAGCTAATGGGGTGGGGCATCCGGCTCTGCCAGGGAGTGGTGCAGTCTTGTGGTAGGCAAAGGCCCACGGTTCAGTCCTTGGGAGCCAACCGGGGGAAAGATGCCCTCTCTGAGCACTTTCCTGTAGGGCAGTGGGGCATAATGCAAGTAGTACCAGATATGGAGATGGAGGACCTAGGTTTAAATATTGGTTCTGCTACTTCCTGCCTCTCTAGGCCTCACAGATCACAGATCCATAAAGATGGGAGAAACCTCAGAAACCATCTAATACAACCCCCTCATTTTACAGATGAGGAAACTGAAGCCCATGCAGATTTAAATGATTTACTTAAGTAATCTTCATTTGCAAAATGAGTGAATGAGATGATTCCTAAGGTCTCTTCCAACTCTAAATCTATGATTCTAGGATTTGTCCTCCCTACCTTCCAGGAAAAGGCCCCCAAAAGAATTTCACCCTCAGTTATCCCCAGATATATGCCCCATTTCTTTCTTGGAGGGTTCCTCCATAGGTCTCTAAGATTATGTCATCCCTATCTTGTGTAATTTACGTGCTGGGACGGTCTAGGTAACAATAAAGATAATATTAGCCCACATGCCTATAATGTGTAAGACGTATTATGGGGCTATCTAAATATATTAATATGTATACATATATATGTATATATGTGTATGTATATGTACATTTCTATGCATATATGTATACGTGTGTGTGTGTGTGTGTGGTGTGTGTGTGTGTAATGTAGCTAGATATGATCCATCTCTGCAGAGAATAGGAGAAGAGCGATGCTAGTAACATTAGCAGCCTGGCTGAGGGTTGGAGGGAAGGGAAAAGAGGATCTAGGCCATGACTATGCTATCTCATTCCTCCAGTTTCCAAGAATGGTATTAGGCTAGAATTATATCTATCAACTGTCCCTTAAACATCTCTGGTTTAGGAATATGAGTCTGAGTTCAGAAGGAAAGCTCTCCCTGTGGCTCTCAAGGGGATAGGTAGCCCTTTCTTGGCTTACGTTCCCAGCTTAACTCTTTCCTACCAAATGCTGGTCACACAGAAAACCATCATGATTAGCAAATAGTGAATAAACCCACTTATTTAAACAAAGCAGCAAACTGAAATTAAAGAAGTTCTAAAGATTAGACTGTACCAAAGGACACACAAGAGTAAACGAGCTCTTCAGCTGGAAGCCAGATAAAATCTTAGCTCAAACCAGGAGAAAAAGAATGATCTCACCCAGGGAAATTCCATTTTCAGCAGTCTTAGAGTTGTAAGCTTTCAGATAGTCAAAGATCACAATTCAAAAGTTCACATCTCTTCCCTCTCTCTTGACCAGTTCCCTAGAGGTCCTCTCTCAAAGCCTCTGCAGCATCTGCCCTAAATTCTCTTAGCAACTAGCAGTCACATCTTCCTCTACTTATATGAAGCACAGCCCTGGCTGCTCCTCCACCTACCTTACCTAGATGGGAATGAATGTTTCCCTCACAACAGCTATGTGTGGTAGGTAGGATATTATTCCTATTTTACAAATGAAGAAAATGAGGTTCACAGACATAAAAATGACTTTCCCAAAGCCACGCAGGTAATGTTGACAATAATTTATAATACTGATAATAATAATTAATAATACTACATTTCTGGGGCAGCTAGGTGGCACAATGGATAGAGCTCTGACCTTGGAGTTAGGAGGACCTGAGTTCAAATACAGCCTCAGACACTTGACACTTACTAGCTGTGTGACCCTGGGTAAGTCACTTAACTCTGATTGCCTTACCAAAAAAGTAATAATAACAATAATAATAATACATTTCTACATTGCTTGAAGTTTCTCATGATAGTCCCTGAGGAGGTAGCATAAGTGTGGCCACTTTTTTCTTTGCCTGGACCTGTGACTTCACAGGTGTAGAGAACTGCTCCCAGTGAGGAAGTTCTTTTTACTGTTCTGAAATTTATAGCCTGAGAACATTGCCTAGGGGCACCAAGAGGTTAAGTAACTAGCCCTGGAACAATTTTTTTTTTCTGTCAGAAATGAGCCGAGGTCAGGTCTTCCTGACCCCAAGACAGACAGGAGAGTGGCTTTCTAGCCCTAGCTTCATGCTGTTACTTTTCTCATTTTGACAGACTAGAAAACAAGAGACTCGGGGAGAAGGATGGAGCCTGCTTCCCCATGGAACAAAGCTTTGTCTTTATCAAAATATTTTCCTGCGCCCTGGCTCTTTTGATTCCCCACCCCCATCCCTGCTGTGGGGTGGCAGGGCAAGTATTTTTCCCATTTTACAGATGGGGTAAATGAGGTCCAGAGGAAGGAAGTAATTTGTTCCAGGAAACTTGGGATAGAGTTGGTACTAGAGCCGAAGGATTTGTAGGTAGTGGGGATGATGATGATGGTGGGGAGACTGAGGTGACTGGAGTAGTGTGGCTTGCTCAGTCCAGAGCTCAGAGGGCATGGAGTTTGGGTGGTGGGGTGTGGAGCAGGGGAACTAGGGCCTCTGTGACTCATCTCCTCTGTGTCCCTTCCCCTCCCTAGGCCTAAGCTGAGGTTTTCTGGGGGACCCATTCCCACCCCCATCCCTCACTGGCGTCAGCAGCCAGCAACCCAAACCTGGCATGGGCCCCAGACGTGTCACTCTCACCAGATCTCCCCGCCTGCTTACAGCCGCCAGGAGGTGGGGCCTGGGGGAAGTGGGGTGGTGGCGGTGAAGGAGGCTCTTTCCCACCATCTGATTAAGGCTGGTGAGTCAGCGTGGGCCCCAGCCCTGGGCAGTCTCCCCAAGCAGCCCAGCCGGCCAGGAGGAGGGAGGAGAGGAGGAGGCAGATTCCAAACGGTTGGCTTCCTGCCACCTCTCGCTGAGGGATTGGAGGAAGGTCTGAGGGGTACAGGCCAGTCTGCCCCAGCTGTTAGCTCCGCTCTGCACGGTGCCCTGCCCAGGATGCCCTCAGGTTGTAGGGGTGGAAGGATCACCTAGCTAGCCCCCCCTTTCCATTTCATAGTTGGGCAAAGAGGGGATCAGAGCGGTCCAAGGACTGGTCCAGGATCATTATCTAGTGTGCGGCACAGCATGTTAGAACTGAAGGGGATCTTAGACATCCAATTCAACCCTCTTCATTTTACAGATAGGGAAACTGAGTCCCAAAGAGGTTTATCAGTTTGCTTGCCTTAAATCATATAAGTGCTTATTCTTCTTTCCCACCCAAGTCACGTGGTAGGCAGAGAGGAAGAAAGTAAGCATTTACTAAGAGCCTACTGTGTGCCACGTACTGGGTTAAGTGCTTTTACAAATGTTGACTAATTTGATTCTTAAAACAACCTTGAAAGATAGAAGCTATTATTAGTTCCATTTTACAGTTGAGGACACTGAGACAGTCAGTAGTTAAGTGTCTTGCTTGCGGGCACACAGCTAGTAAGTGTCTGAGGCTGAATTCGAACTCAGTTCTTCTTAACCCCTGGCCCAGTGTTCTATCCAATGCACCAACTAGCCGCCAGCAGTCTCAAGATTAAATTTCAAGTCTCAGTGCCTCTTTCTGCCTTTTTGACTCCAAGAACAGCGAACAAGGTTGGGAACTCTTTCCTTGCTCTGGTGCCCTGCCCCACAAGTGGGTACTACTACCTAACAGCTGCCTTCCTCTGCCTCCCTCCAATCTCTCTTCTGCTCAGGGAGGTTCCCTCCGAGATGATTTCCTGTCACCAGGCATTGGCTCGGCTCCCTCCAGTGACCACCCCTGTGAGTCTGGAAGCCACAGAGGTCCCATCTGGTCTGGATTAGGCCTGGGTCAGTGACGTTGTCTTTCCTGTCTGGGCCCAGCAGCCTCTGATTCCAGCTGCCACCTTTGGCCCTGGGGGAAGGGAGAGGTATGTCCCTAAAGTCCGACAGAGAGTGATCCAGAGGCAAAGTCATCTCTGGAGGCTGTGAGGATCAGAGATGTCCTTAGGGTTGTGAGGGGGCCAGAGTCATCCCTAGAATATGTAAAGGGCCCTAGACATCTCTTGGGGATGTAAGAAGTTCAGGGCTTTTCCCAA